TGGAATACTAGGAACGTATCGATAACTTTTACGCTACGGCTTCTTCATGAATAAGCGATAAGCATACACAGAATTATCGGAAATGCCTTTGTCCTGCTGTTTTGACACAGTTGCCACAAGCCGGAACCACTGTGTGTGTGCGTGCCCGGCTCGAAACGTGTATTTCAAACAGGATTTAAATAGATTTGAACTCATATTTGTGTGACGAACGGAATTACCATTTTTAAAATGCAATTAAATCCAGTATTATTTCTAAACGTATTTAACACGATCGTCTTAATTTCCAATATTTGGCTTAGCCATCGAATGTTTTTTCAAATTATTTGCCAAACTTTGCGATATGTTATTTTTTCTTTCGGTTGAAAGTAATGCGCACACGTTGAGGTCATTTCATTGTCATGGCCATAGACAGTATGGCGATGAAGAAGAGGAAAAAAAGAGGCTGGCGCCATAAAATTGGGATTTTCCCACATTTTCGAAGGATTTCTTCGCATTTTCATCGCACGTGGACTTTTACAAGCCAATCAGCTGGTAAACCTTTTTTTTCCATTTTGCAAGACAATGAGTGACTGGCGCACGTGGAACAAAGTAGGAAGTGTGACAAAAGGTGTGAAACATCGCGACCATTCATACATTTAGGTAATGTCAACGCTGTGCATGTTTTTGCTTCGGTAAAACTGTTTTTTTTTTTTAAATTATTTTATGATCGAAGTAAAATTCCCAAACGGAACTAACTCAAAATATCTTCCTTGTTTTTTTTCTTTTCTGACCGTTTTCTTTATTTCCCGCCGAATTCGGAGATTTTCAACAATCTGAAACAAATAGACGTAACTAACAAAAATCAACTCCATTTTCCTGTTCAACTCTGGCTCTGCTTCTCATTTATACAACAGATATTTATTACAAACACCGCAACCGTCAGAAAAATTCATATCTAAACTGGACTGTTGGTCTTTCGTTGCAATCATGAAGCGTTGCTCAGAGAATGAAGTGAGGGAGAGAAAAGGAGAAAAAAAACGGTACATGATTATGGAAACGTATTCTTATCATTTTGTGGTCACATTCAACTCTGTGTGGAATTAAGCGGAGTGTCAGTTAAAAGCGTGTGCAACAACAGCAATATTTTATGAATAGAGGATTTCCTTTTGGGACTGTCCGGCCGAACCAAATGCAATGTTACTCTGAAATCACGACCCAGAAAGAGTGAATGAGAAAAAAAACGGGGGAAAAAAAAGAAATGAAACACACACTTACAACGAACGGCCAAAACCGTTGTTTCATGTGCGCAACTGAATGTGGCTGGAAACTCACTATAAAGATGACAAATAGCAATTCGCGCACGCGACAAAATATGCGAAAAAAAGAAATGTTTTTGATGCATTTTTGGGGTCATAGCAAATGTTTCCACTTGCAAATAAATATTCGTTGAATTTTGGAATGCGCGCAGCAAACATTCACGATGGCAACGCAAAACCGGCCAAATGCGTACAGTTTGAGCGAGGAACGATGAAGTTGAAACGAAAAGAAAAAAACATTGCATCAGCATCGGAAGACAAGAGAATTTATTGTTGCAATGTGAACTTGGTGTGAAACGTCTTTTTTACTATGACGTTTTTTCTCTGTAAATATGAGCAGGTTCAGAGCACCATATCTTGTCTGTGTTATGACGAAAGATTCATCGTTCGAATTTGAATCTTCAATTAAAACAAATTGCTTAAAAATTGTTCAAAGACACACAATTCGAAACTGTAAAGTAAAATGTTGAAATCAATTGCAAGAAAAAGAAGAAAAAACCGCTCGCTGTCAGTATTCGCACATAACTAGTAATTTATAATAACAACACAGCAGAAAAGAAGAAGAAGAAGAAGTGCATTCGGGTGAATGTCCATTTCGAAGCGCCTCTTCTTGTCCATGTATCGAATCGTGCACACCGAACGGCAGACAAAATGTGAAATATCTTGTTTGTATGTAAAATGAATAGTGATGCACACAAACTACACTGGTGATGGCTTTGAAATTTGTGACTTTTTCTGGCTATGTGAACAAGAAAAGAGAAAACAGGAGAACATCGTGCTTTGCATCGTATCGGCGAATTGAGTTCGAAAAGAGTTGAACGAGAGCAGCAGCAACAACAACAAAAAAAAGAACCACGCACACGAACGACGTTGACTGTGTGTACGTACTCTCGTGTATTCTCGCCTCTTTCTCTATGTGCATTTTATCCAGCTATTTTATACCAGAGCACAGCACAACGGCAACGAAAACAAAACACCGTCTAAAAGACGAAGATACTGAAGAAACTGCACAAATAAACACGAAAATTTCGTTGTCGTTCTCGCTTCGGTCTTTCGGGTTTTCGTATTTTCAATCGGATACACACAGTGTGCTGTGTACACAGTGCGAGAGTGAGCGAGAGAGCGAGCGAACGAGAAGTTTATTCCAAAAATCCACCGATCCAATGTGCATGATGTGAGATTGTGTGTGCGCGCACTCACCGTCAACAGAATGAAGAAAAAGGCAACACATACACGGAGCGAGCACAGCGAGTGAAGGGCAGAACGAGAGCGAGAGTAGCACACACGAGAGTCATCTTCTCGTGATTTCTCTCGTTCCAACGCAAGAACTTCAATTGAAATGCGAACAAATAGATCGGACTCCTTTGCACGCATTGTATTTTCGTGCTAGGGCCTTCGAATAACATCCAAACAACATGCATATACGTACACACATCGAACGACGACGGCGACGAACCAAAGAACAAGCGATATGCTCTCCAACAACAGCAACAACAACCAACTAGATGACAACAAGATGTAGTAGAAATGACGGTTACACCTCGGTTAATATACACGTTGAACGTACTACTCTGCATGTGCACAGGGCTACATGGCTCCACCTACATTTTACGGTAGGTGGATGAACAATTTCAATAGAGAATAAAGAAGAAAACGGGCAAAAATAAAGTAAGGAAAAAGAACACAAAAAGAACGCAACGATGACGACGACTACGACGACAGCAGCAGCGGTGGTGGAAGCGGCAGAACAGCAACGAACAACGACAACGACGTTGAAACCGTGTATTTCTCTGTGTTTGATGTGAAAATAACGAAAGAAGGGGGAAATACTCGTATCGTTCACATGTCTTGTTCAACAATTACTTTGAATATTTCTTTTTATTAACGTCAGTCGCTGTTGATATATTTTGCGCGAACGGAGGGCCAACGTCTTACGGCAAACCAGTGACACCAGCACAACCAAAACACATCGATTTTATCGATGTATCTATTACAAAGCATTTATTTTGGCATTATTTTCTGTTTTCTGCTGCTGCTACTCTCGCATTCATCAAATGGTCGCAATAGGCTTTGAAAACGGGACTCGCACATAATCAACAGATGTCCATTCGATGTGCAACATTTAAATGATGCACGCAATGACACTCATTTAAAGTGACTTATTATTTATTTGACTCATTTGCAATTTCGTTTCAATTGCTCAATTGAAAATAAATTAAAATTGAATTTGTTCTTTTTTTGCTAAACGAAACCAAAAAAAAAAAAAATTATCTGAATCTAAACTATGTTCGATATTTTTGGCTGGAAATTTATGGAAAAAAAGAATGCTAGACAAAAAAAATACCCAAAAGTTTTAAATGAAAGCAGTCACATCGAATCAAAATGTTAATTTATTCGGCTGGCGAAATGTCGATTGCATTTGTGAAAACGATATGCGAGCGCGTTGGAACAATACTACATACAGCATTGTGTATGTTTCAATATAAACCAGCATCTTTTGTGCAAAATGTATGTTAGTAATATGTTTTCGAATTCGATTTTCGAAAAATGCTCCTGCAAAAATATCAGCATACGGCACACACGTTGGAGCACACATTGGTTGGTCGGTCGGTCGGTCCATCCATGCATGTTGTTTCTCCTTCGCCCGCAAAAAGAGCACACATTGCAGGGGAAATTCGGTTTCAGATACAATACACAACGCACGAGCTGTCTATCCGAAACGCAAGTAGTTCATTTGTTAGCATCCACAAAACTGATTGAGAAACAACAACACATCGGTGCGATCTCTCAGTCGAATCGTGAAAAGATATGCTGCGAATGCTCTGTGTAAAACAGTTGTTTCGTTTCGAGATCAAAGCAACAAACCGTATGCTCGGATATACAATCGAATCGTATTTTGAATATGAATGTGTATGAGGCCGCATGAAGCAGCCGACACTGTGCGATGCTGTTCGCAATCACAAGTTCTCTCACACAAATCATGGCACAACACCACCAACGTAAATTGAACTACCGACGACAACTACGACGATGGCTACGACGACGACGACGACGACAACGGCTCTGAATTCATTCACGTTTGTTTTCCTTTACGACGGCCGATACGGTTATGTTGGTGAAACAAACGAAAATGAACTGGGCGCTCTTTCGCTCTCGTATTTGGCCAATTGTGCACTTTCTGTGTAATGTACAAACACCGTTCGTGCATTGCACAAAGCACACACACACACTCTCTCTCTCTCTCTCTCTCCTTCGCCATACACACACGCATGGCCACATGTATAAAGTGCCCGCACGCACCGACAAATGCATGTGGCTGTGCAAAGTAGAAAGGGAGAGCAAGACACATGGCAAATGAAAAACCTCATTGAACCAAAAGGGAAACAACAACATCGAATCGGCGTGCTCTTTCGACTCGAATCTCACTCTCACACTCTATCTCTCTTTCCGTTCCACACGTCACCGAATGGTGTTGCTGCTGCTGCTGCTATGTGTCTGTGTGCGCGGCCGTTGCGCCTGTGTTAGGGAGAGGACAATGAGTAACACACAACGGGAAAAAGTAGCAGTCGAAAGCAGCAGCAACAACAACAACGGCATAGAGAGCACGAATTGTGTGTTCGGTTGAAAATTTCATGCGGGATGTGATGATACCTTTTGGTGTGCGAGATGTGTGTTTTTCAACGAGATCACTTTTTCGTAAATAGTAGTAGCGACACAAACGTCGCGGCGTTAACACGTATTTTTACAAAACGGAGCCGAACAATTTTCTAAATTTTTGTTCAGTAATAAATAAATACAAGACAAGAAGGGAAAAGCAACAAAAAAGAACGAACGTATCACATACACACGATTTCAAAGTCTGTTGATGTGTATTCCTCTCTCTAATCAAAGTCATCGAACAACGAATGTTCACGTTTGAACAACATACAAATTCATCGAGCAATTTCTGATTTTATTATTTAAAAAAAAAAACAATATTTTTTTTCTGTTCTGTATTAACAAATTGTTTGAAACGATTTGTGGAAAAAACAAGACGCACGATTCATATTTTGAACTGTAAAACGAGCGACGAAGAAAACAAACTGTCGTTAGATCACACGCACACACAACATTTTCGGTTTTGTAAATCGCCAAGTTTGAATCGAATTTTGTTTTATTTTTCTCTATCGTGTGAATGTGTTTATCTTCTAAATCGATTGTAATGCACAAATTAAGCGATTCCAGCTAGCGATCCAGTCAATGTGCACATATTACATCGAATTCGGTATGGAAAAATTGAATAGAAGATAGAAGAAAGAGTATAAATTGAAAATGATGAAAATAAAAATTGCATCGAAATCACAGAAAAAAACCGCATCCAAACAAGTCGACAAAAAGGAGTTAATTAATTGAATGTGAACTTGATAAATGCGTTGTTGTACAAGTGAGTGAAAATTTCTAATGGACAAGTTTAGTGATGAAAAAAAAACTGTTGTTATGAACAAAAAAACAAAAAATTAATCAAAGAGTGAGAGAAAGAAATTAAGGGGAAAAAAATCACCTATTTTTCTCTTACCTCGTGGGACTTGTTATAATTTTCGGACTATTGAACACAAAAATTTCGAAGCAACGAACGAAATATTACGCAAAATAAGCGCGCAAACAGAAATTGCCGCAAAATTTGTGATTCATATATACAAAATTGACGGAGCCGTATTCAGCATCCCGAACATTTTCAAAGTTTGATTCCAACAAATAAACCATTCCAATGTTGTCATTATTAATGCCTCGATACGGTCAAGACGATAACAAAACGATGCCATCATCATCGGCTGCCTTTCCACTACAATGTACGTATTTCCAACATCTAAGTAACATCCAATTGAAAAATCCGTTTCATTTTTGTTGTGTTTATTCTTAAGTTTTAAGTCATGTTTTTTTTATTGCCGCCTGAAATGATTTCTTCTTTTTGTTTGGTTGGTTGTCTTTGATTTCGAACAAAACAGAAGGAAAACATAAAGACTGTGACAAACGGAGAATAAACTGAGAATATTTCGTTGGTTATGATTTTCATTTCAATTTTTTTTGTTCGTATTTTTTTTTTTTTCAAAATAATCATAGTGTGAGTTTTTCGAATGTTTTGCAACTTTTGTCGATTTCTTGGCAGTACAAGAAAACAACGGAAACACTACACTACCCATTTTTTTTTGTTCTGTACTTACGATTTTTATTTATTAGTTTAACCTTGAATCGACGAAAAAGCCAATTGTTGAAATAATTTTGTGTTTGATGTAAAAGATTTTTGTTGTTGTAAAAATTGATGTTGTTGTTTTTTTAACAAGCGAAAAGAAAAAAAAACGGTTAAACGTAATCGCTTCAAAGTGTCTTTGGTCGTGTTTCACAATTTCTCTTTCTCTTGCTCGGTCTCTCAGTCTCGCATCGCCGACACACTCGCAGTCAACAAGAAGAACAATGCGAATTTCATCGAGAGAACCATATTTAATCGTGAGTTTAGTGCGAGTGTACGGAGCCGAAATGATGTCATCGAATTTTCATTTTACCTTACTCAGACTCATAAATGGGGCTGTACTTTTGTTTCACAGCCACGTATACGTGCACCAGACACAAAGAGCCAGAGAGTCAGCCTCATCACACACGGCACGGCATCTCGTCTTTCGTTCTTCATCTCTCGTTCAAACAGCAGCAGAGCAAAGAGAGAAAAAAGAACACTGAAACGTTATAGAGAAGCAACAAATGAGCAAACGTGAAACGCAAATGATTGTGTTTAATTAATTTCAATGAAATTTACTCTATTAACTAATTGAAATAGGTTTCTTTAATGTCATTTTCGCGTTGAAGCTGCAACACACACAATTCGGTTTTGATGGTATTTTTCTCGCTCGCTCGCTCCCTCTCTCTCTCTCTCTCAATTCGGTTTCTGTTTTATTCGCTCGAGTATCATGTGTAGTAAGTCGGTGATGTGTGCGCAAAATTGCTCGATTCACAATTAACGTGAGTCCATTTCGTGTGTGCATTTTCGCGGTTGCATTTTTCACTTTTTTGGAATTTGCATTTGCGTTGTTAGTTTTTGTTTGTATACCCTCTTCTTCTTCTTCCACCTCTTCTATGTCTAAGTTCTGAGTTGAGCACAGCACTTTGTGACTTGATGTCTCAATTTTGTGTGTTGCCATTCTTTCGGTCGGGTTTTTTTTTTGGCGTAAGCATACCTCTGTCGGTGCGAGACATGAAAATGCCAAGTGTGTTTGTGTGCAAGAGAGAAAAATCACGTTAATGGCTTGTGATCGGTACATGGAATTTCTCGGTGCCGCATCCGAAACCAAATCCCATTTCATTTTCGAAAAAACGAATGCAAACCATTAAATGGAATAAAACGTCGTAAATTGTTGCTGCTGCCTTGTTTTTTTTTATTCCTTGATTACCTTTAATATTCATTCTGTGCTGCAGTTGTTCGCGTGTGCGTGTGTGTCTCACTCACTCACTCAATCGCTCGCTTCGTTCACGGCCTCTGCACAGGTTTTTATTTCAATTTGGTATTTTGTTCAATTCTTTTTCGGAGTGATTTTTTTACTGCTCGCGATCACTTATTTTTTTTTCTCTACATTTTCAAACGTGTTCGTAATTCTTCTCGGTGTGTTTCTTTCCGTTCATTCTTGCTCATTTCAAGATGAAATGCTACCGGAGAGGTTCTGCGTATACACCTACTGGCTATATGGCATACATGGCGTACAAAATACGATGAACTAAAAATACACCATCGTTTCAGATAAAGAATCAAAAATAGTGTAGTACATTTCATATTTATCGTGCCGTATGTGCACTGCGCCATATAAACACACATACCACACACACCTATGATATATGTACGGGAGAGTACAGAGAGTCGGCATATTTTGTTGCCGTTAATAGAATTTCCTGGATGTTAATGTTGTTTGAGCATTTAACTTTTTGAAATGAACGAGAGAAGAGAACCAACAAAAAAAAATAGCATAATGGCTCTCGAGCCAACGAGCAAGCGAACGCGTACCGCAATTTCGGTCGAAGGAGCAAGCGAGAGTCCAACCGATCAGAGAGAAAGCGATAGAGATAATTTGAAAGAATGAACGAAGAGAGCGAAAAAAAGTCCACAACAAATCAAATGTGTTTACAAAACCGAGAAATGTGCGTACATGCAATGTGAATGGTATGTGTACGGACTCGTATAAAGAACTTACCGCGAGCGGTGCGCGCTCACAACGAACTCATTAAATTACATTGTGTTTTTGTGTTTTCGTGATTGTCTCACTGAATCTCGGGAGCTAAAAATTGCCCGAATTTGACGTCGTCATTGTCGACGTCGTAGTCGTCGATCAACGCAGAGCGACTCTATCTACCTGCCTCCAAACGGTCACATCACTCACTCAATTATTCACTTGCATTTTTCGCTCGCCTCGTTCGCTCGGGCGACACAAACAAATTCATTTTCGCGCGGCTTTCACATACTCTTAACATGATAAACGATTGATTCAATAGGCTGTTTGTCGTTTCTTCACTTTTTTCTCTCTCTTTTGCTTAGCAATGCCTAATTAAGATCCATTTTTATTTCTTAATCATTTTGAGCGGTGCACTAAACACGCCACCTTACACACAAAGGCAGGCGATGCACAGCAGCAGCAGCAGCGAGCCGAGGAAAAAAAACCAATTCAAGAGAACAGTGCGGCGTGTGAGGAAGCACGGCCAAGAAAAATAAATAGCGCAGCATTCAGCAATTTGCAACTTGTGTTTCTTCTCTGTGTTGTTCGGCTATTCGGTACAATATGTTGTCATGTTCGCGGTTACCGTGATTTCTCTCTCTCTCTCTCACACACACACCAAATCCTAAAAATAAAACGATTTATTCATCAAAGCAAAAGACAGATGAAAAGAGCGAAAAATCGAAAAGATGTAGCAAATCACAAGAACCCATTATTATTATTTCTTTTCTCTCTTGCTGTGTGCAAGGACTTTTGTTGTTGCGATTTTTATTCTTATTCTCTGTTATTAATGATAAACGCATTTTGAAGTCGTTGCCGTTCGTTGTATCGCCATTGCTTTTGTGATTGGTTGAATACGTTGTCGATCGCCTCATCGCCATCCACAATTCAAACGTAGAAATGAAAGAAGAAGAAGAAACGATTTCCGAGAGAGAGCGTCAAGACACAGGCATAAATCGATTTACGTGTACACATGAGATCATTTGGGGCAATTAACGTTGATTTACATTGGCTTTTACTGATATTGGACATGAATAATTCGATATCCACTTGTGTGCTGTGTGTGTCTGCTTGCTTGCTTGATGGCGTGAATATTTCACCGCAAGAGGCTGATTCAATAGGAGTGCGCGATGCGCGCTCGCGCTCACAATCTCTCTCAAGCGAGCGCCTCTTTTTATCCGAAGCAGCTCGAGTTTGTATTTGCCTCGTTTATTCCACCACATCTAATTAGCCATAACATGATCGGTGTGTGAATGTGTCAAATGGAAAATAAATTCAAATAAAAGCCAACGGCAATACGGCGTATCGCAATATTTGTTTATTTTCTCTCTTTCTCTCATTTCAACATTTTATTTTATTATTTTTCCCTGGCCGTACGTCTTGTGAACCATTGCTGTAATGAATTTTCTTGCATTCTGCTGAATCGTCACATTGTGTGTACTGTACCGTGCATTCTGCCTGCCTGCCTGCCTGCCTGCCGTTCGATTGAATTGATTTCACCGAGAATGTAACACAAACAATTTCGCCCGACTAAAGGTGAACTAAACAATGCAATGGCTCATTCTCTTATCACCCGAGTGCCCGAGCATCAACAACGACGACGACAATTCTCAATCGGCAAGCATTCATTTATAAACACACAGTAATAGTGTGGCAAAACAAAGGTGTATCATGAAATCAATGATTGATATTGTTTGCTACGTCTTTTAAATGCAGTCAACTCAAGCTCCGTCTCTCATTTATACGATCGACAAGAGATAAACAAATTTATTTATTTGTAGGCGTTGTGTGTGAACCAAACACTGAATAGTGAGTGAAACGTAAGCTATACCGCATGCCAATTCAATGAGCTGTACGATGTGCCACTGCCAAAGTTCATCATTTGGAAACCTTTTGTCGTTTTGGCCACTTGGTTAATGGGCAAATTAGAAATGTGTGTGTGTGTGTGTATTTTGGTATGTCGCCATCCAAGCATATTGTGCACCACACAACAACAGTCACACACTCTTTACCCATTCTCCTTCGCACGAACAGAGTTGAGAGAGATAGAGCCTGTGCTATCACCGAAAATAGTGATAATGGTGATAATGCATATTTCCTCAAGATTGATTACGATTAGCACCTTTTTTTCATCATTATCATTTAAATTTCTTCGGGGGCATCAAATGGCCTTTGTATTGTGATTAACTGTCCAGGCCGAGAGAGTGGGAAAATCCGAGTGCCACCTTTATCAACCTCGAGCTCGACTTTTAATGCATTGGACATAGTCTTTTGCGACTTACGGAAGACAATCTCCGTTTGAATAAATATTTATCTACAAGGCATTGCTGTTATCGTTTGGCATTTCATTTGGTCATCAGTCATTTGTTGCTTGTCGTTCGGCTCAACAGTTCGCCAAACAAACATAAATACTTATACACACACACAGAGAGAGAGAGAGAGAGAGAGAGAGAGAGAACAAGAAGCGCAAAGAGTGAAGAGAGTAGGAGAAAAATAAAAACAAGGCAATCGAGCAAAAGCCTCAGCAAAGTAGTCATGATTGTTTTGAAAATAGCCAAATGTGACAGCATTTAGTCAAGTGTTTACGCATGGTTTACCTT